AGTGGATACAAGGGCACAATCATACACGGAAACCTTACTAAATCAGTTATGTCAAATAATACTGATCTACTCTTATTTGATGAACACTAGCTATTCCCTTCTCAGCTCCAGGGAAACCTGCACTCTATCCAGGCGCCCCTGCCACCTCAGGGTTCCACACCCCTCTCTCCACCCACTGCCCTGACCAGGAGGTTTCCTGCAAAGCCCTCTGTCCCACCTAAGGTCCTTCTCAGCAAAGGATTCTATAAGATTAGGCTTGGTATCTGAGAAGAAACCCAACCCATGTGCCACCTCAGATCATTTTTGTTACAGAAGTCAAATAAAATCCATGCACATTATAAAATTTGTATCTAAAAAAGTCCAAAAAGCCCAATTAAGTGGGTGTGTTTCCACAGCGAATCCAAATAGATACATCACAAAATTTAAGAGGATAATTATCAAGGGGAAAACAACTGTTAAAACACAACTCTATAAATGTGATTATTTCTGCCCAATAGCCAAAAACCTAACAGTGATTTCTTAATTGTTTATAACTGTCTCTTCTGTCTTGAGTAAATCAAGACAATCAACAATGAAAACCATGTATAAATCAACACCATCTGCTTAATTATTACACGGACTAGGGAAAAGGTACGCAACTATTTTTTAAGAAAAAAGAAAGGCCCAAGGATTCAAAAAAAATACAGTTCTACAGATGAAAGGTTTCTTCTAGTTAAAGAAACCACAGTAATGATCTAGGCGCAGGATAACTTGACACTTCAGCAACAAAAAAATCTTGTAACCATTTAAACCAGACAGTATTTTTACCATGAATTCTAATAAGGGAAAACAACACACAAGGGAACCGAGTTCCAAGTTAAGGCTGAACACAGCACTGTACGCAAAACAGACAAGCAACAAGACCTGCTAAGCAACACAGAACCAGTAATCAGTGTCAGTAATCCGTCACACCCAAAGGGAAAAGAACCTGAGAAAGAACAGACACACAGGTTACTGAACCACTTCACTTTACACCAGAAACCAATGCAACATTGATTTACAATGTTTAATGTACGTCCATTAAACAAGAAGGGGGAAAAATGCTAAAGCTGAGCAATGTTCTAAAATGATTACTCGGCCGACACAGAAGTTCAAAATGAATCATGTTCAGAAGAGTGAAATCCTCTCCTCAAGCAAGGTGAGCTCTGAAACATAAACAGGGCAGTGACTTATTTAAGTACGGAGGGGAAAAAGGCACAGCAGGTATACACCGATTTGCATTCATAACCCTTTGTAAGTATTGAAGAGACAATGCCTGCAGACTGTGGCTCTTAAAAGTCAGTCATTTTAGAAGAGCTAGCTTACAAATGCTATGCTTCTACCTGAAAAACTTCAAAGCAGGGCACAGCCTCAAAACACACCCTGACACCTAGGCTCTGGTGTAACCATCCCCACGCTGTCATCCAAAGGCTACGAAGGCCTTTCCGCTCAGGTAGAGTTGGTCCAGCCGTCCAACGGCCTGGGTTCTAAGTCACACAGGACACACAGCGTGACCATCGCAGTGTCGTGATCACCACAAAACCCTCTGGCAGCGGGGTCCTCAAGGAGAGCTGTGCTTTATTCCAGACAAGAGCTGGCAAGTCAATCCAGGTTTTTCTTCCTAACTCAGCAACCGACAGCCACATCTGAAATGCCGTCCTGTAAAGGAGGCAGGCTGACAGCGTTTAAAGGGGCTCTTGGGTGTGGGTCCACGGGAAACTGGGTACAGTGTTACAGACCGCAAAGTCTTCAAAGTAAAAAGAGGGAGAGAGGAGCAGTAGGAAAAGGGAAAAGGAAGAATGGGGTGGGGTGCCAGGCAAGCTGCCCAGGTGGGACTCACACCCTGCATCTCGGCAGCACCGTGACCTTGGCAAACTGGAGGGTGCCCATCTGTAACGTGGGCGACGGCAGCTCCTCTCGGAGCTGGAGGAAGGTATGAATGCGACAACATAGAGGAAGCGTCTAACAGAATGCCTCACTGGCAGACAGTCAGCAGGATATTAACTTCTCCATGTAGTTATTCTTTTATTTCCAAGTAACTTCGTCAGTTCAGTGAGTTAGAGTTTGGACTTACTGTCACAGGAAGATACTCAGCTCTTCAAAAGCATGACAAACTCCTTGCCAAACTAAGAAAAATAACTGAAAGCAAGAGTTACATTTCTTTCAATAAGGAATTTCTGTGGGTTTCACTTCTCATAAGGCTGCCTTGTAGGAACAAGAACAGCCGCTGGGCACTGGGGTTTGGGTCCCTAGCCCGACACTCACCGGTTGTGTGACCTGAAGCAGGTATGTACTCTGGTCTGTTCCTGTGTGTAACCCGGGAGGACGCCCTTCTTACGGATGCTGTCAGAACGTAAGCTGCTCGGGATAGCGCCCTGCCCTTAGTAGGTGACACGTCAGTGCTAATTCAGACCCAGCAATTCTCACCAGGACACTGTCTACCACCCCAAAGGTGGCCATCATTAAACCCACCTATGCACTGGAGTTACTAGGTGAGGAGGCTGTGACGTAGACGAGGCTTCGTCTGAACCCTGACCTCACTAATCAGTGCTCTAAGTACACAATCTCGGCCCTCCACCTGTAGAGTCTACATATTAGAGCTTACTGTCCACTAGGTCACTGACAAAATTCAAAGACATACCACATGCCATAGCTCTGTGTATCTGAGTGATGACCTCTGGATAGTGGAAATGTGGTTTTTTTTCCCACTGTCTGTATTTTCTAGTGTTTTAGCATGCACATGCACCATTAAGACTCAAGATATCATTTTCACTGATATAGACTCTTTACTCATTATATCAGCCTTGCCTAATCCAGGCTTTTCTCCAGTAATAGGTGTGTTAATTGATAGAAGAGTTGTTTGTTGTCAGAAAGAATGTGTAGCTTGTGGTAACTACCACAGTTTAGCTGAGAGATACCGAGTAAGTCCTTCTCTGAGCCACATTTCTTCATACATAAAATATGTGGGCACAACAAAGTCTTTCAGGATTCCTGCTGGTGGGATCTTCGTTTCCTGACCTGGGACTGAACCTGAGCCTGTGCATTGGCAGCATGGAGTCCTAACCACTGGACCACTCGGGGAGTCAGGATTCCCCCTGGTTCTAATATTCTGTGACCATATTACACTGTTCAGATGGGAAGCAGAAACAATAGGGTCTATGCTAAACCCTTACTTGTTCTGGCTTTGCCATCCTAGAGAATCTGTTGGGGACCAGTATAGTATAATGATAATCTTCTCATTAATGTACAAATGTATTTGTACAGGTTGTAACGTTTTCTTTCCTGATCATTTTATCTATATTTATGTATTTATTCTGGCTCCGCTGGGTCTTCGTGCTGCATGTTAGCTTTTCTCCAGGTGTGCGACACAGGCTGCTCATTTCAGTGACTTCTCCTGTTGTGGAACACGGGCTCTGGGCACACGGCCTTCAGCAGCTGCAGCTCATGAGCTCGGGAGTTGCGGCCCCAGGCTCCGGAGTGCGGGCTCAGGGGTTGCGGGGGCTCCAGAGCACGGACTCAGTGGTTGTGGGGGCTCTGGAGTGTGGGCTCAGTGGTTGTGGCCCCCAGGCTTAGTTGCTCCCAGTTCGAACCCATGCCTCCTGCAGATGGATTCTTTACCACAGAGCTACCAGGGAAGCCCGGTTTTATTTTATTAATTATAAAATGATGCTATATATTGTGAAGAATGAGAAAGCTGAACTATAAAAATATTTTCTCAAAGACCTGCCAATTGTTGAGGCACATATGTGGGACAGAACCTCTTGAAATGACCTGTCTACATGCAGAGGAGATATTTCAGGCTGACTGGCCAACAGATCATTTCCGCTGCTGAAACTTCGACAATGCATCCATCTAGTAAAATCGCTAAAGAAAATCTAGATGTATTCCATGAAGCCTGGGAATCCCAAAGCAGTGACATGTCAACACCACTCAGAGAAATCAGTGATGTGTTTGAAGGAAAATGAGGAGAGAAGCAGAGCTCCCTTTCATTTCCAAAGCCAGTGAAGAACAGCGCAAACCTGAGATCATTACAGCCAGACAAGCCTGACTCCGAGGAGCAAGACCAGATAGCAAAGCTTGGACTCAAACTGGGTTTGCTAACCTCTTTGAGACGAGCAATGCCAACTCTAAGACTGAGAAGTGGGAGGATCAGGAGAATGAGATTGTTCAATATGGATGGAACATGTCCAGTATGGCATATTCTCTGTGTTTATTTACTAGGGGCCACTAAAAACTTACCAAGATTTAATTCATCAACTAGAGGTTTTTGCTGAAGAGGGTTTGAAGCTTGCTTCAAGTGTGCAAGCTTTCTCAAAACAGCTGAAAGATGATGATAAGCTTATGGTTTTCCTGGAAATAAACAAGCTTGTTCCTCGCTGCCACCTGCTCCAGACAATAATTAAGACACCTTTGCAGAATCAAGGGGCTTCCCTGATAGCTCAGTTGGTAAAGAATCCACCTGCAATGTAGTTAGATTCCTGGGTCAGGAAGATCCACTGGATAAGGGACTGGCTACCCACTCCAGTATTCTTGGGTTTTAAGACACTTTGGGCAGAATCAAGTGTTTCTAAAGATTGATAAGTGTATTTGAAAGGTAAGATCCATGATGGCTGTTTTGGTTCAACTTCTTGCACTATGCTATAAACTGCTGAAGAAGCTTTAGATGGACAACAATATATCGGTCTCGGTTACAAATAAAGATTCTGTGGATGGTAAAACTTGAGAAGCTTTTGAGGTCAGATCTCAGGAATACCATGTGGCAAGCTGACCTTTTTATAAAGCAAATGATCCTTTACGTTTCAGAAATTCAACAATTTTGCAGAGAAAACAAACCAAAATCTTGCTTTATTTTCTTTTCACAAAACCGATTGTGAAGCTTTCTGACAACTAATAAATACCAAGGTAGTTGCTGTTAAAAAAAAATTTGGAAATGAAAGAAACACTTAGATTTATCAAAGGGCAGGAAAACTCAAATTTCATACCTGTATTTATGAATGATGGCATTAAATAATTTCCCATCTCTCCAGCAGGTGGTGAAATTTTCACACCGAATCCCCGCATAACCCTCCGTGGCCTGCTGCGTCCACAGTAACAGTCTCTCTTTCGCTGACATGTCTTCTGACTCACCAGTAACATGGATATCAGATATCTGAACGGAACCGAAAATGGTAAACCATTAGGAAGGAAGGAAGCTAACACAGATTAAGAACCTACTATGTGCCAAGCACTTATTACTTAATGCTCCTCTCACTTGTAAGATGGCAATGTTTCCCCCATCTCCACGGAGGGAACCTGAGTTTCAAAGAGATTAGCAGATATAAAAGTAAGATGTAACCCAAGCATTTCATTTTTTTTCTCATACCAGAATGTCCCAGCGCTGAGAAGTCTCCATTCCTTTTTACTAATCAGATCTGTTCAAACAACTTAAGCACACATTTTTCCAAGTTCAAATGAGTCACAGTAGAACCTACAAATTAATCTATGCTACTCACATGCAGAGCAGAATCTGATCCAGCAGGCATCCTGTGTAAAGAAAAGGAGAACAGCCCCCTCTCCAGCTAACCACACTGCTTAACTATTTGGCCAGAAGTCTTTCTGATTTTCTCATGAAGCTTTGTTCCGTTTACCCAATGGGAAATTTTCATCAAATAATTTTTCCCTATACTCTGTTTGCCTTACTTTTAAAAAAAAAATCTCTTCCACTGAACGATAATAAAACAGCCACCAGTTCACATGATCTCCATTTGCTCAAGTCGCCCTTTGATAAGGGTCCTATTTAACCTGCTGATAATGACATTAAGGCACCAAGGGACCCCGGCAGGGGTCAGACAGTGACTCCCAAGCCGGGATTAACACCAGCAGACAGCTATTCCCGCAGTCAGTGGGGACGCCAAGCCGGGGGGTCAGGACAGGCGGGGATCAGGGTCAGATGGGAAGGAAGGCGGTGGGGGAGGTCATCCAACACGGGAAGGAAAACCCCTCAAGTCCCGACCGGTCTTGAGAGCTGGCCACCGGTCCCCTGACTCAGGGACATCTTTTCAGGCCTGTGAGCCAGCATCCTCTTCTATAAAACGGGGCCGGGGGGGGGGGGGGGGGGGCGGGGGGGAGCAGGCAGAAGCAGGAACTATTTAAGACTCTCTTCAGTCTGAATCTGAGAGGCTGAGACAGAGGCAGAGGTTCACACAGGCAGGCAGGATACTGACAGCAGAAAGCTTAGAAACCCGGGCTAAAGAAGCCCTTCAGTCTAGAAAGATGAACAGATAAAGATGTGGTGCATATATTCACTGGAATATCACTCTGTCATACAAAGGAATGGATTAACGCCACTTGCAACAACACGGACGGACCTAGAGATGATCGCACTGACACGTTTACGTGGAACCTAAAATACGGCACAGATGAACCTTTCTACAAAACGGAAACAGAGTCCCGGACATAGAGAACAGGCGTGTGGCTGCCAGGGAAGGGCAGTGGAGAGGGGCGCGGGCATGCGAGACCGGCAGATGCAAACTATTCCACACAGGACGGAAACCAACAAGATCCTGCTGAACGGCACAGGGAAGCAGAATCAGGATCCTGCCATAAACCAGAGTGGAAAAGAAAATGAAGAAGACTGTAGACACAAACGTGTAACTAAGCCGCTCTGCTGTGAAGCAGAAATGAACACAACACTGTGTACACATCAATAAATGTTTAAAAGCTCTATGCATGTACATGTAAAACTAGCTGTTTCTGGAAAACCTGAGGACACAGGGTGGTATTTATAGCAGTATAAAAAAAGGGCAATAGCTGGGTAGAGCCAGGGACGGATTTCTGCAGGGTCAAGAATGTTCCAGTCCAGTCCAATGCCAAAGGTAACTACCTATTAACAAGGAGAGTCAACACATTTCAACCACAGGGTGTTTAACAGGCTACAGTGCTGCCCAGGCATCCAGGGAAAGATATTAAGGAAGAAGCGTTGACAGGCCTGAAAATGGCTGAACATCAGCCAGGAGCCTGTTATGCTCACATACACAGTATCAGACCACTGCACATGCAGACACTAGTTTAAAAGCTATAGTTTTAAGGGGTATACTCAAATATGTTATGAACCAAATTTTAACATATCAAAGACCACTAATAAGTTAAGTCTTTCATCTTCTCCTTCAATTTCCAATTAACTATTATTCCCACTGGGAAGTTAAGCATTTTTAGATATACTGTTACCACTCACCATTGCCCACCTAGGTATATCTAACTTTTTTATCAACCTAGGTATATCTATGATATGGTACAAAAAAATTAAAAAGAAAAGTAAACCAAACGCTAAACACTGTAAATCTGAAGTTGCCACTCATGACTCCTAATGTAAAATCAGCAAATCAACCTGACTCCTCCCCAGCAAGGGCAGGCCAGGCGGGATTCTAGGAAGGAACCAGGCCTCTTCCTCCAAATCCTGAAGGCGTACAGAGATCACAGGAGGTTTCAGCTCCTGCTGTCTGGGTTCAAATCCCAAGTGCAACCGCTAACAGGATTAAGACCCAGAGCTGCTTAACGTGGGCACATCTAGAGATGACCAAACTACGTGAAGACAGAGAAAGACAAATATCATATGGTATCACTGATATGTGGACTCTTAAAAAACGGTACAGACGAATTTATTTAGAAAACAGAAAAAGACTCACAGACTTAGAAAACAAACTTATGGTCACCCAAGGGGCAACGTGGGGGGAGCAATAAATCAGGTTAGGATTAACATACACACGCCACTATATATAAAAGAGTTAAATAACAAGGACCTACAGGGGTCTGGATACAATATCTTGTAGTAATCTGTGCTGGAAAAAAGTACGAAAAATAATTATACATATATGTATAAATGAATCACTTTGCTGTGTGCTGGAAATCGAGGCAGCATTGTAAATTAACTCTACTTCAATTCAAAGAAAAGGCCTAGAGCTAGTCACATCATCTCCCTAAAACCCATCTTCCTTTTTTAAAACATAAATGATGATATAATAACATCTTTCCAAAGTTTAGACAAGATGATCTACATTAAGTGCTCAGCCCGGAGCCTGCAGGTAGAAAACTCTACAGACGTCAGCTTCTCCCACTACTTGATGAGCAGTACTTGTTGCTTCTGGCCTCTTGCCAGCGACCTGCCAGCCAGCAGCCAACACAAAGAAGATGTTTCAGACCAGAGCTCCTCCTGGCCGCTGGAAGCCTGCAGGACTCTCCTCCGAGTCACTGCCGGCCGCCACTGGAGGGCACGTGCTTCCTCCCACAGAGCCTCTCGGACCTTCTTTCATCTTTGCTTCCTCTCCCTGGACCCAGCCTGCCTCCACTCGCAACTTTCCAGAAGCATCTACTCTGCAGGAAACAAAATCTGCTCAGCTCCCCACCCTGCTTCGGCCTTCCCATTGAAGCCCAGCCCCCCGCACCACGCCCTGCAGCGCGTTAAGTCCTGGAACCAGCAGGCACAGGGGCAGGGCATGCTTCCCGCCTCCCCAGATGACGGAAAGCAGCAGCTCGCAGGTCAGTATCTGCAGCACAAAGACCTCGCCTTTGCACATCTGGTCACTCTTGTGCCGCCATCTCCTTCCCGTCCTCAAGACGACCCGTGCTCCCAGCATCTAGTATCTGCATCCAGGGACCCATCCTCACAGGCCTCAGCCTTCCCGCCACGCCGACCAGCCACATACCTGCAGCTGGATCTCGTTACCTTGAACCTGATCCAGTCCACTGCAAGTCTGTGACTTCCAACAGCAACGGCTATTTTCTAGCACTTTCGCTCCTCAGCTCCAGCTGGACCGACCGACCAGAGGCTCAGCAAACACCGCGCGGTCCTCCACCAGCCCGACTCTGCCGCTTCTCTGAGCCCTCCGCTGGCTTCGCCGCCTCCTCCCGCTTGTCTCCACCCCGGGACCCCTCACTTCACCCGCTGTCCTCACCTTCCTCACCGTCCTCACCCTGCGGCCACCCAGACGTGGAGCCTCAGCCCCGATCCAGGCAGTCTGTCTCCTCTGTGGGGATGTCCGCCTCCTCGAATCCCTGCTCTGATCTCGGCCGGGGCTGCAGGAAACCCGCCTTCCCTCCTCAGCATCCTGAAGGGAAAGTGTTTCCATCCCTCAGAGGATGTCTGCCACCTCTTCACGGTGTGGTGGGACGCCTACCCCGCCTGCTCTCCTACTGTGTCTCGTATCACTTTTCGTCATCTTTACAGAGAAAAGGGACACACGTGAGGGCCCTGGCCTGTCACCCCGTGTCTCTGTGAGGGGATCCCCCTGGGTCTTTGCTCTCAGTATGTACAATGCCCAAGTCTCTTCCGTCCTAAAATGAGTAAAAACAAATAACCTTCATAAACCCGGCTTCCTCTGCACTCAGCACCACCTCCCTCTTCTTGGTAAGCACCTGGAGGGAACAGCCTGCGCTTTCTAACTGTTATCTTTACTCCTCAGCCTGCTGAGTCTCGGCTTCTGTCCCAGTCACCCCACGGAAAGTGAGAAGGGGTGAGCAGACCCACAGAGGGGTCCACACTCGTGACTCTGCTCCCAGGAGCGGGGAGAGGGGTCAGGGGCTGAGCGCTGCGGTCACTGCCGAGGATCAGCGCCGCCAAAGCTGCGCACCTGCATGCTTCCCGGGCCCTGGAGAGACAGCAGCGGACCCCAGGGGGCGCGGGCTGCCCCCGGGCTGTGGGGAGCAGAAGCAACCAGCTTTACTCAAGACCATGAACTCCAGGCTCCCGTGTCAGCATCAACCCCTCTTAAGACACAGCCATGACCGACCTAAAGCAACACTGGGCTCCAGAGAGCCTCCCGCCTCTGGAACCAACCCCTGGTGTCCGACGAGAAACAGGCTCCGCGCACGACACGTCCCTCACCCCACGGACACATCCGTCCACGTCAGTCTTGGCCGGCCTGCCCAGGCCCAGGCCATTCTCCTTGAGTCCCACGGTCAAACCACACAGGCCAGACCCTGCGGGCCACACGCCCTCTCTCCGCAGGGGCTCCACTCAGGCCAATTCTCCCCCGGAGCATCCCTGCCCCCAATACCACGCAACACAGACTGAAGTGCTCAGTTACCTTCAGGAGAAAGGGGCGGGAGACCTGCAGGAGGGGAGGGGGGGGCGAGGGGAGGGGAGAGGAGGGATGGGGAAGAGGGGGAAGGGGT